TTTATATATAGTAATATTTAATTACATAATAATCAATATTTTAATTATACATATTATCATTTTTATAATTAATTGTTTTCAAAGTATTATTGATTTTAATATTTAATATATTAAATTAGTAGTTGGATCAAGTATGATATCCGACAGTGATTAAAATCACTATCATAAAAAACGTTTCGCTGCAAAGCTGTAGATAGTGTTTAATTTTAAAAAATAGGTGGATTATTCCAAAAGCTACATGATCTCCTATTTCCTTATTTAAATCCTAATTAAGATAAACTATGTCGAATGAAAAATGTATATAAATACTAATTCTTATGAAAAAATTGTATTGATCTATACATTTTTCAAAAAGTTATAGCATAATAAAGTTAAAAATGTAAAATATGAAATCGAGAATTTTCATACAAAAATAGCATTTGGTAGCCATTTCTACCATAAAGACAAAATAAAGTACAAAATTTTTTTTTTCCATAATAAAGTACATTGCATTAGCTTTAATTTAATATATATATATAAGTGTCAGACTTTCCGGAACACTTTCAAAATTTAAGTTGTAAAAGTTAATTTTTTGTGAAGTTGTCATTTTGAATCCCCCTCCTGTAGGCAAGTAAAGGGTAAATTTATAATGAAAATATACCAAATGAAAGGTAAAGACATTATGTATCTATAATTTCATTCGATATCATTTTTTTGAAAATCTAACACTTAACCTGCTCACAGGGGTAATTTAAAATAGCAACATTTTTACAAAATCTAGCTTTTTCAATTTAACTTTTGAAAATGTTCCGGAAATACTGCATCCTTTAAACGTATTTCAAATTAAAACTTATGACATATACTATAAAATGAAAAAAAAAATTGTTTCGACACCTTATCTTCTATGTGCAAACGGCTACCGTAGTTAACAAAATGCTATTTTTATGTTAAAATTTTCGATTTAAAATTTTCAATATTAAATTGCTATAACTTTTTGTATAATGTATGTATCAAATTGTTTTATGTTGTTCGATTTCCTACTAGTTATAGTTTTTTATGTTTAATGTTTTATGTTTTTATGCTTAATTAGGTTAATTAAAATTGATACTAATTAGAGAAAACGGTCGTTTACTTATTAACAAGGATATTTAATGTATTTAAGGATTTTAGAATTAATATATATAACATGTAAGTATTTTATAACTAGATACAAATAAAATCTTAAGGTTTAACTAAAGGGAGGCAAAGGGATGGTTTGCCTCAGTTGGCCAACAAAATATATATTTAAAAATTAAAAAAATTATATTGATAATATATTCCACAAATATTTCGAGTTAAATATTCTATATACATAGCTTCTCAGCTATGGATCAAAGTTTAAAAAAAAAAATTAAATTGAATATGTTATTAAATATTTGTGTTTGTGTGACGCATTTCTATTTAAATATTTTTTTAAATTTATCATGAAATAATATTAAATTTTATTATAAAACAGGCTTATGAGTGTATACATAAACTTATCAGAGCATTTTAAGCAAATTTAAGCAACTTACAAAGAATTTTAAAATGGTAAGTTATACAATTTATTAAGTATTCAATAATTATATTATGCAGTTTTATTAAGACTAATTAAAACCATACCATATCAACTTATATAACAAAATTTTAGAAGTTATAAATATTTTTATATTTAAACACGAAGAGAAACATATCAGGTCAATCATAAAAAATTAAGTAGTTATTATTTTTATGGCAAACGTAAATAAAAATTGAAGGTCTTGATGCAAGATTTATCTTTCTTAAGTTAGTGCTTAAGAAACGCTTCGATGCAAATCTGTAGATAGCGTTTATTTTTAAGAAATTGGTGAATTTTTCCAAAATCAAAATTATGTCCTATTTTTTGTTCAACTTCGACTGCCATTTCCACATAGAAAATAATTCGTCGGGACAAATTTGTTTTTTAAATACCTTTTTAGCTTTGCACTGAAGCTAAAATAAATGACAGCCACAACAGCCACACAATTTGTGATCTTTTGACATATTGTTCATCAAAATCGGTCTTGTGAGAGCTAGATTAAATACAGACATACAAAAAAAACACATTATAGTAAAATTAATATTCTCTCAGCTTTGCATCGAAGCTAAAATTAAAAAATCGCTAATAACTCTGAAATCTATCTGTCGCATACACATTAATTCAGATTTTAGTGTTTTTATTGACCTTGAACANATCTATCTGTCGCATACACATTAATTCAGATTTTAGTGTTTTTATTGGCCTTGAACATAAATGAGACTTTATACAACTTAAGATATTCTTCATGATATTTACTAATGCCTACTTGTTTATCATTAAAGTATCTGATGATACTTTAATGTTCATGTTAATTTCAAGAATCTGGTTATTTGTATTTATTAAAGTTAATGTGTAATAAACAAAAAGTAAGAGTAGCTAGAAGTACTAGGCAGGGACAATGTATATCTACAGAAACACGGTTGATATATATATATATATATATGAATATAGATGAAATATTAACGAAAGGTTACTATTTTACTCTTGCACGGAAATGTATACACGAATTTATATGAGTCGTGATTATCGTATTTCTTTATTTAATTTTATAGTAAGTTTATTTCTAACGACCTACCTCACTCTAATTGTTTATTACTAAAAATCCTTCGATGAAGCCATTAATACAGATTCGTATGTAAATAAATTTTTTCACTTACCTCTGATTATCCCGATAAGGCAAATACTTTGTTGCAACTTATCACATGTTGATTATGTCGTTATTAGCAACATGTATTAACTCGCGTTTAACTATATCTATATTAAATCTACTCAAGGTTAAAATCGAATTTATTATTCCTTTGGTATCTTATGTAAACTCTCTTTTACATTAATGTGGTATGTTCATAAGTAGTAGGGTAAAATAGAGAGTTCTAGAACCCCCCCCGCCTCACCCCTTCACCTACCCACCCTATGG